ACCACCCCACCTCCATGGTCCTGCTGAGCTGATCATTGCTTTCTGTGGGCACTGCTGGACTCTGAAGCTACCACTAGCTTGGCCCTCTCACTAGCAGGCATGATGGCCAGTTTGGTACAACTGGTTGGGCTTCATGTGACCACTCTGTGCCTGGCACGTGCATGAGCCCTGCAAATGGGGACCATCTACACAGGAGCAGCCTGTTCCCTAGGACCTCCTCTCCTAGGCTGCTGCAAGATGGGCACGGGTCAGGGAGAAACAACCTCTGGTGTTCTCAAAACTCCTGGGTCCGGTGGCCAGGGTTTCTCAGGAACAGGCTAACAGATGGTGATGGCAGGTGGACAGGATATCTGGGAGAGGCTTGGCAGGAGCCTGAAATCCACCACAGTCACGATAGGGCCCGGCTCACAGCCTCTGGCCAGTCTCCAAACACACAAGCATGGTGCAGGGGCACATGGGAGGAAGAGAGGAGCAAGGACCGTGAGTACAGTGCCCCAAACCTGTAGCATCCCCCCACAGCAGCGGTGGGGAGAGGGGATCCCATGGGCCTACAGCTTCGTCGTCAGGGCATGAAACAAAGGCTCTGTGAGATGAGCTCTCAGGCAGGTCGGGGCAGGGCCCGAGCAGCTGAAATGCTTCTAGGACAGGTGCGGACACCCGCCCAGTTCCAAACCCAGCTTCAGTCGCCAGGGGGAAAAGGCAGAGAGGGACTTCCGGGGCTTTCCAACTGCTGATGTTTTCATCAGAGGAGGAGCCTGGGGGCACCCAGTCGACTTCATAAGGAAAATAAGAAGCATTCAAAGGACACTATTTCCTTAACGCGATGGTGTCTTTCCTTGGGTGAGGCCGGGGACAGGCATGTGGGTAGCAGTGAGCAGGAGAAAACACGGGGTTCACCGAATCTGCCAGTGGCTCCCTTTGCCCACAGATACTCTAACCTTTGGGGACTTGTTTCTCCTCGGTAAGGTGGCAGGTAACAAAAGTATTGACCCCAGAAGATTGCTGAGGAGATTAAATAAGAGGTAATGCACTTAGCTCAGCAAATAGTTTCTATTCTTATTATTTATAAGCTTGTCAAGTGAGAATAAGGCCTATGTGAGTATAGAGGCTTGAGGAGTTTAAGGAGTTGAGAGAAGGTGGGGCTAGTCACCTTCCCACAGGATGGCTGAGTTCAGAGTCAGCCTTATCACTCAGCACCAGCCCCATCACTGTCATCATCCCCACCATCATCATCATCACCTTCTCCCTCAAAAGTCCCTGGGAGAAGATCTGAATAGGTCTCTCTCTCTCTGTCTTTCTCCTCTCTCTGTCTGTCTCTCCTCTCTCTCTCTCTCTCTCTCTCTCTCTCTCTCTCTCTCTCTCTCTCTCTCTCTGTAAGCTGATGTGTAATCTGATGACATATGATTAAGGAGACTTGCTTTCTTCACCCAGGAACTAGAAAATGGGGTTCCTGCACTCCTTCACATATTCCTAAGAGCATCTCTCCAAGTGAGGCATCCAGAAGGACAGCGTCCCAGTCTGCTCAGAGGGACTTGAAGGAGCTTCCACCGAAGGACCAGCAAGTGGGAGAAGGTCCCTGCCCCTACTACCCTCAGAACACAGCGCCCACACATTCCTGCTCTCCCTGCAGTAGGTAATGATGGAATCACATGATGGAGATCAGCCACCTCCTAGGGGGGTCAAGGTGAGCCCTGGCCCAAGTGGTGAGGTGGGAATGATGCACTGGGGTGCTCTGGTAGAGTCTAGGGAGGGACGCCAGAGCCTGGGGAAAGATGTCCACCAGCGGTCAGCAGATAGCAGCAACTTCTCAGGAAGAGGAAGGCCACGTCACAGTGACCCACACTACACTCTACCACTTCAGTCCGAGGAGGCAGAGCAGGAAGTGAGTAGGTGGTCCTGCCCCACCCCACTCCTAAAACCCTGGGGCTGGGAGAGCCCTGAGTCTCACTTTGACTCTGAAGTGACCAATGAGCAAGCTTGGGGGCCACCAGTATACCGACTCAAGCCAGTGTGAGGCCTGAAGCCCACCAAGGACTAAGGGATCTGGTCAAATTCATGAAGTTTGGAGAGTAGGGTTTTCCTGAGCACAGTTGGAAATACTCAGTGATCATACCACCATGATGGACAGCTCAGCCCTTTGCCCACCTGATACCTTGTGATTCCTCCCATACCTGTCCTGTCACTGACACAGGGTTAGTCGTCTCTCCCCATGGTGCCAAAAGTTCCAGGGTAAAAAGAATTACAGAGACAGAAGATAGCACATGCTTTGCATGTAGGAGGTCAGAGTTCAATCCCTGGCATAGGACAGTCCTGGAGCAGTGCCAGAAAGAGACTCTGAGTATGAAGCCACTGGGTGTGGCCCCCAAGCAATTAAAATGAAAGGGCCCAGGGAGATAGCTCAATGGACTTAGTGTCTAATTTGCATGCAGGATTTCTGGGTTCAAACTCTACTACGGATGGTTCCCCCACCCCCAAACGCAGAACCTTAGAGTAGCCCCTCAGCATTCCTGGAGAGACCAAAACCAAACCAAACCAAAACAAAACAAAACAAAAACCTTTTCTGATTGAGTTCACCTAATTGGCAGGCCTAGATTTTTCAGTCCTGCTGTCCCCAAAGACACCCTGACAATCAGATCTGAAATTACATGGGGTTCCAGTCCAGGCTCTGCCATTCCCTTGCTACAGGCCTTGAGGATGTCCCTTATCACCGCTTTATGCCAAAGTTTCTTCATCTATAACCTCCGGCTAGCGCAAACTCCAATTTCAGACCAGGCGCTGGGGCTGACATCCCTCCCAGCCTCAGGAGCACACGCGGTACTAACTCGTTTGACAAATGATTACTGTGCTCAGTAATTACTGAGTACAGTAATTGACAAATGATTACTGTACTCAGATCTTCAAGGCCTTAAAGGACAGACGGGATTGGCAGGTGGGGACACAGGCAGCAGAAAGCAGGGCGATGGGGACATCTCTAGGCCACCCAGGATGAAGCTGCCCTGAGGAATCCACATGCCCATGTGTGTGCGTGGGGCACAGTCTTTAAGACTTCCTGCTGACCGAGGCTGGGAATGGACAAGGGTCTGCAAAAGTCTCTCTCACCTAAGGGGCCTCCACCCCAGCACCACCGCCAGCACCAGGACATGCACTGTCCCCAGGAAGATAAATGCCTTCCTTCCTCACCGGGAAAATTCACAGCGCCCGACCCATCCACAGAAGCACCCTGGGCACCCCACGCCCCAGCAAGGTGCAAATCCCCTGGGCGTCCCTCCCACCCCTCTGAGGACCAGCCCACAATTCAGGGAGAGGAAGCTTAAACATGACCTTCTGCTCAGAGCCCAGGATGGGCGGACATCCCATTCTTGCTTCTCAAACATCTGGGTCTCATCTGAGCCCTGCAGAGCCCCAATCTCCCTCAGAGATGTGACACTGTCAGAGTAGCCCCAGTCTGTCCCCAGTTCAGGAAGAGACAAGAGTTCAGAGGAACTGGCAGGAAACTGGTCTCATTGACTGCAGCAAAGGTGAGGACCAACCTCTGACCTCAGGTGCCCACCTTGGAATCCAGCACACTGGGAAACTTACCTGCTCCGGGGAGCTGCTCCCCTCCTTCCCGCCCCGACACCCTGCGTTGCTGGCAACAGGCATCTTTTCCAAAAGCAATCCAGCCAGGGAAAAGCAGTGCTAGGTGAAGCCCTAAATGCTTCACCTGTTCTGGGAAACCGGAGCCAGGTGCAGTGTAATGAGTGCGGGAGGCTGCTGGGGCGCACGACCGCCTCTACGCTGGCAGTGCCGGGATCTGCCAACAGGACAGTGAAAGTTTCCAGGGCAAGACGCTGCCCGCCAAGGAGGCGGCGGCTGAGAATTTGGCCCTGCCAGCTCCAGGCCTATACCTAATTGAATGGCAAACACTCATGTGCTAATTAGCCACCAAATTTGACTTCATTAAAATCTCATCAGGATGTCAAAATGTAGCATCTTGTTAATAAATCACTTTTTTTTTTGAGAGCTAGGAAGAGCACTGCTTCTTTTCATAAAAGGAATGGATAAGGATTAGGCATTTTTTTCCCTGGGAGCTAGCTGTACAGTTTAAATATGTTTTGTGGTTAAGTGTTCTCGCTCCCACAGATAAGGCCCAGCTTGATAATTAACCGAGTTGTTGGTGGGGAGAATCGAATCAGCAGTGCAGGAGTAAGTCTGGCTCAAAGAGGGGGAAGCCTCCCTTCAGAACACCCCCGCAGGGCCTGACAGCCATGCCTGGCAAGGGTTGGAGCTGTGTTCCTGGAGAGATTCTTCAGTTTGTCAAAAAGCTGGCATCCTCAGAGACTGAAGAGATATTGCAGGGACGAAGGTGCTTTTCTTGCACGTGGCTGACCCTAGTTCAGTTCCCCAAGTGCTGCCAGGATGACCCCTGAGCACCACAAGGCTGTAGCCCACAAACCCGAATAAATAAATTTTTAAAAATAAAATGAAAGGGCTGGAGCAATAGCACAGCAGGCAGGGCATTTGCCTTGCACGCGGCCGACCCAGATTCGAGTCCCAGCATGAGCACCACCAAGAGTAATTCCTGAGTGCATAAGCCAGAAGTAACCCCTGTGCATTGCCAGGTGTGACCCAAAAAGCAAAAAATAAAATAAAATGAGAACATCATGGGTTTGGAGGGCTGGTACAGGGGTTATGGTATATGACTTGCATCGAACCAACTCCGGATTGAATCCCCGGCACTAGATAAGATCCCCTGAGCAGCAGTGGGAGTCCCCCTGGAGCACAGGGCCAGGAATAGCCCTAGAGCATGCAAGATATGGCCCCCCAAACAAATAAATACCTAAGCAAAGCCAACAAAAAGTTGGCCTCCTCAAGGTGCCACACTGGGGTTGCCCCAAGCCAGAAGAGGCCACCAGCATTCCTGATCTTCATGCTACCTCTGGCCTCAGGGAACCGCAGGTGGGCACCCCCAAGGATGGGAAAGGCAGCTTGGTGACTCTGGAGAAAGCGCTCTGACTCACCTTCGGCAGACAGCCCCTGGATGTTTATTCCCTTAGCTGCCAGGAAATTCAAGCAGGCATCTATGTTTTCAATCTGGGGGGGAGAAACAATAAGCCACAGTCAATACACAGTCAGTCATCTCACATCAGAGACAAAGGGGCTTGGCAGAGAAGAGGGTTCACGAGGGTTCTCAGCGAGGCCAAGCAGGAGGGCAGGGGAACCCCAGTTTGGGTGAATGGATGCAGGTCAGGGCTCAGTTTCAACTGTCCTTGCACAGGAAAAGGTTACCCCATACGTCCCAACCGCATAGGAGAGGGGGCCTAGATGCCAAAAATAACCAGGGTGGAATCAGAGCCCTTCGCTTGATTGCTGTGTGGTACAATCCTGAAAACTTGAGCAGCTGCCAGAAAAATGGAGGTGGGGATGAGGTTAGCTGGACCCGCCCAGCAGCTGGGAGAAATTTCCAGCCACTAAGAAGGCAGCAGTCAGATGTAAAAGCAGAGAGTGGAAGTTTCAGCAGGAATCTGGGGAGTGTTTACTCAGAAAATTCCCAGGATGGCAGGCATTGCAGATGACAAGGGTGGGCTGGGAACTCACCAAGCCCCTGTCTCTCCTTTGTATTGTCTGTGACAAGAAAGTGACCCACCAGCTGGAAAGGACTCGGGGGGGACCCCCAGGTTTGGCAGGGCCAATGCCATGGCCTTATGAAAGAACTAGGTCACTCCCAAAGATGGGATTTGACTTCAGTTGTCAGGGCTAATTATGTTTGGATCTGCTAGAAAATTCTCAGGCCTGATTAATGTCAGGGGTGAGGACCAATGAGAGAAATGGCTTTTGACTTGGCACAGCAATCCTTGAATGTCGGAGAATTTGCATTTCACAACGGAGCGCTCCCCCTCACCTCCACAACAACCCACCTCACCTGACTTCCATCAATATTCTCCTGAACAAAAAACCAGCCTTTAACCCATGGAGTCTATTTTGAACCATGAAAAGGCGGTCTTTCCCCAAGACCAGAAGCCCATACTCTCTCCCCATCTCCAATTGGTAGCCCTATGGCTCTTTCCCAGGCAGAGAGATAAAGCATCTCCCAGGCAGAGAGATAAAGCATCTCCATCCTCAGAGATCTCATTTGAACAGAGTTTGCCTCCAAGACATCCTCCCTAAGCTCCTGTTCACTTTCCCCAACAGTTGGCATCTTCCTTGGAACTTACTCCCTGCTGTCACATCTTCCAAGTGCTCTAAATGAAGAAGCTATGGGCCATCTGAATAAAACTGTTTCTGTCTCAGAAGAATCTGCTCTACCTTGATCTTGCATTTTTAGCACAGGTTCTCACTGCTTCCCTAGCCTACAGCTCTCCTTTAAAGGAACTCATCTGGGAAACATTTTTCATCTTAGGGAAAAGGGGCAGAATGCAATTTCCTGCAAACTAAATCAATGCCAATGTTATGGGCTATGTCTGCCACTATGGCAAAAAAAATTATCTCTTCTAAAGAGAAGAAAAGTTAGATTGGCTTTTTCACTCTGTCCCCCAGGATGACTGTCATGAACAAGCTTCCAGATGCTGCCATCTTGGAAGGAGGGACCGTGGGAGGAAAAGGGACAAAAACAATTGGGTAGATGCTATGGAAGGTATGTGACCACAATCGACTTCCTGTTTGCAAGTGTAGTAAGATTTTTTTTTTAATTTCAAATGCTATTTTACTCTATTATGTAGCACTGTAGCACTGTCCTCCTGCTATTCATCGATTTGCTTGAGTGGGCATCAGTAACGTCCCCATTGTGAGACTTGTTGTTACTGTTTTTGGCATATTGAATACTTGCCAGGCTCAGCCATGCAGGTGGGATACTCTTGGTAGCTTGCCAGGCTCTCAGAGAGGGACAGAGGAATCGAACCTGAGTCAGCCGCATGCAAGACAAATGCCCTACCCACTATACTATCACTGAAACTTGGTTTTTAACACAGTGTTAATTATTCATCCTTATTTCTGCCATTGTACACAGTGGTGATATACACATCAAAACCATGCAAAAGGGCTCACTATGCCACAATGAGGCACGAGTATTAAATTCATGTTACAATGATAAAATTCCTCTCCTAGCCCTTGTCTCTTTCAATAATTCTCTCCTATGTTTTAAGTATTAGATCATGCACAAGGTTGATAACAAGGCTTTGACAATCATAGCACAGTGGAGAAGGAATGAAAGAAAAAGCTGACCATTTCTGAATCTGTTAATTTTCACATTATAATGTTACTTTCTAGGGCTGGAGTGATAGCACAGAGGGTAGGGCATTTGCCTTGCATACAGCCGACCGGGTTCAATTCCTCCGCCCCTCTTGGAGAGCCCAACAAGCTACCAAGAGCATCCTTCCCGCACAACAGAGCCTGGCAAGCTCCCTGCAGCGCATTTGATATGCCAAAAACAGTATCAACAAGTCTCACAATGGAGACATTACTGGTGCCCGCTTGAGGAAATCGATGAACAACGGGGACGGGGGGGGGGGGGGGGGCGGACAGTGCTACAGGGCTAGTGAGACAGTACAGTGAGAGGGGCATTGCCTTGAACAGAGCCATCCCTGGTTTGATCCCAGCACTGCATATGGTCCCCAGAGCACTGCCAGGAGTGATCTGTCAGCACAGGAATAAGCCCTGGATAGCTGGGGGCATAGTCCCCAAACAAATACAAATAAGAATGTTACTTTTTTATTTTGCTAAGTGCCAAGTAGGAGAGCCTACAGGTAAAACCTATATTTTTTCCCCTTTAACATGATTCAACAGTGTAAGCAATTAAGATAAGAAAAAGAAAAGAAAATGACCAAAGTATTCAAGAAAAGCACTGCTCTGGAGCATTGCAATTCTATAGATGTTTCCTTCTATTTTTTTTTAAATTTTTATTAGTGAAACACCATGAGGTATAGTTGTAGACTTACAAATTTTTGTGCCTGGTTTCAATTATACAATGATCGAGTACCCATCCCTCCACCAGTGCCCATTTTCCACCACCACTGTTTCCTTCTAAGGAGAGTAAAAGTACGTTTTATTTGCCTTTGTCATGGAGCAACAGGTGGATAGAGCATCACTTAAAGTGCAAGATAACTTCTTGCTGGACTAGCTCTGGTACATTTCAGTCCAACCATTCACTGGGCTTTCTGTCTTGTCTCTGATTTGTAGTCATCCCCAGCAGTGTTTCTGGCTACTCCTAGCTTGATGCTCAGTGGACCAGAGGGTGCTGGAGCTTGAACCCAGTGGTTCTAGCTCATGCCCTCAGCCCTTTGAGCTGTCTCTCCAGTCCCTGCACTTACTCTTAATGTTGTACTCCATTGAAGTGATGTTAACTACAAATGGCTTACCTGAAATACATCGTCCTCCTGATATTTGTTTTTGGGCAACACCCAGTGGTGCTCAGTGCCTCCTCCTGGCTCTGCACTCAACGATCACTCCTGGCGGGTCTCTGGGGACCTTATGTCATTTTGGGGATGGAACCCGAGTGAGCTGCATATAAGGCAAGTGTCTTAGCCTTTATACTATCTCTCTGACCCCTAGTACTGCTTTTTGAAAACCTATCCTGGGGATGGAGCACAGTGGGTAGGACGTTTGCCTTACATGCGGCTGACCCGGGCTCGATTCCCAGCATCCCATGGTCCCCTGAGCACTGCCAGGAGTAATTCCTGAGTGCATGAGCCAGGAGTAACCCCTGTGCATCTCCAGGTGTGACTCAGAAAGCCAAAAAAAAAGCCCATCCTTCTTCAACAATTTTCATAATACAGATCAGTCATTTGTCACTGAGCAGAGGAGTGTGGGAAAGATAGGGAAATGACATTGTCCAGCAAGAGATAATCTGGCAAACATTTCGATTATCACATCCCTATGATGATGACAGAGTTAGGAGTGCTACTGGCAGGGACCAAAGCTGCTGCTAGAAATCTTACAATACACAGGACTTCCCCAGGCATCAAGAATTACCCAGCCCAAACATCAACAGAACCATGGTTCAGAAACCAGAGATCTAGTGAGACGGAACATTTCTTTACATCATTCACCCAGACGATGTGGAGGTCCACTCAGTGCCAGGCACTGTGCTCTGTCCTTCCAGAAGTGGATCTGGAGCCTTCATCCCTAGTAAGGAGCACCCACTGATATAGAACCCATCCCTTTGTGATCCCCAAAACCATTCAACGCATTATTTCTCTCTCTTTCTCTCTCTCTCTCCCTCCTTCTCTCTATCCCTCCTTCCCCCTTCCTCTCTCTCCTCTCTCTCTCCCCCCCCTCAGACCCACTCTTACCTACCTCCCTCTCTCTCCCTCTTTATCTCTCTCTCCCTCCCCCTCCCCCACCCTCACAAATTAGAGCAGAGGAATAGGGAGGCCTGAGAATCTGACTTCATGAGGTGAAGAGAAGAAGTCTCAGAGGACAGAGGAGCTTCCCCCTAAAGAGAAGATGAAACAGCAACAGTACAAGGGCTGCGTGGCTCTCCCAGAAAGTGTGCAGGAACCTGGGTCATCTGAAAGACAATTCATAAGCCCCCAAGGGTCTTGAATGTTTCCCCTCCACCCTGAGTGCTTTGCTCACAGAAGGAGTTCAAAACCACATTCCTCGGGTCTCAAATCCACTTTTAATAATGTTCTATTAAGGTTAAAAAATCACTCCTGACAAGGAGGCTGAGACCCACGCTCTTTTCATCTGCACCCCAGGAAGAGAGTGGGGCTGGGAAGCAGAATGGGGTCAGATGTGAATTCCAACCTCCTGGCTTCACTTGGAAGAAGATCAGAAAGGAAGAAGTGTTTCTTTGATCTGGGCTTTTTGGTGTGTGATTAAAATGCACCTCAAAGTTTTCTTCCAAAGTCTGCACAGGTAAGCAATCCATTCTCATGTACCACTGAAACTACATCTCCCCCCCGCCCCCCACCCCCAGGGAAACGACCTGCTGGCAGGACCCGGGCCCTCATTACAGCTCCACAATATCCCTGTGGAGGTTCCCGTGGCTCATGTGGGAGCCAGACACGCAGGGAGAGATGAGGATCTGGTTAAGATGGGGGAGCAGAGTAAGGGAGAAGACTCAACCAGCCAAGTATGTAAATACAACCCCAGTT